GTTTAAGATATAAGTTATATTTTGTCTCTATTGTATTTCTCAGTTCGATCTCTCATGACTATTCAGACGCCACAGATCTCGTACGACCAAATTTGTAAGTGCTGATCAAATATTTATGATTCACGAATGGAAACGGTCCCATCTAACAACACTAGGATTAGAGACTTTAGTCATAACAAAATATTGAGCGGGCGTTACGTAATTTGTTTGTTAAATAAATCTTCGTAGAAATTCAACAATTTTAATTCTCAGAATCTGACAGTTCATAACATAATAAAAGTAAAACTAATATTAGAACTAAAACGAATATTTTTCCGATTTATCATGCGTATATACTTAATTATATTCAACAATATACTCCCAAAGTTTCAGATACTTTGCAGCAACCGTGATCACGGGCAGACGAGATGTGGAATATCTTATATCTCAATATGTAAAAGTACTGAATTTTTTCTCATATTATCAGACATGTCAAATTATTCGGCGTTCAGATAAAATGAGAGCTATTGAAAAATAATGCAGTAACACACGCTTAGTCGTCTCTTCAAATCAAATATAATATATCTGAAAGGATCTACCAAATGAAGAGTTAATTTCAATAACAATGTATTTTTATTACATTGGTACAATACCATTTTTGCTCATATTATAGGTCGAAATATTAATCCAATAGATCCATTTAATGTTTTGTTGATTTTTTTTTATGTTAATTAAATTAAAACATGAAATCATTTTCTGTCCACACGTTTCTGTGTTATTCTGAATACGTGACCAATAGAAGTAATACAGTTACGATTCATTTGAGTTCCGAAGGTAGCGGTACATTTACAGTTGTTTTTTTCAATTATTAAAAAAAATTTAATACAATAGCTAGGACATACAAATTATTAACAATACAGAGCTACCTTGTGGTAAACGTACGTGGTTGCAAATATATAGATATATATTATGTAATTTATAGGACCGTTTGCTTCTTTTCTCTTATATTAAGTATGGAAGTGAAACGATTTTTACCAAATATATTGAAACAAGGAAAAGTTCTATGCTGCTTCTATCTAGAAAAGGATTTATTATGGTCATAAAGATTATGAGGATGAACGTAACACTTAAGATTATTACCATGGTCAGGAAAGTGAATATGTATTTTAAAAATTTCCTTTGTAGATAATAATTCCAAGAACTAAATAAAAAATTCATAAATCAGTAAAAAAGCAGAGGTTCCTATAGCAATACATTCTTTATAACCCTTCTTCTGGCGCAGTCAGATAAATCCCTACTAATATTATAAATGCGAAAGTAACTCTGTCTGTCTGTCTGTCTGTCTGTCTGCTACGCTTTCACGCCTAAACCACTGAACTGATTTTAATAAAATTCGGCACAGAGATAGAGTTGACCTTGAGAAAGAACATAGGATAGTTTTTATCCCAGACTTTTGAAAGGTTCTCTTGGAAACGCGATATAACCGAACTCCACGCGGCGAAGCTGCGGGCGGAAAGCTAGTATAGAATATAATTTATGAAATAATTAATTACAAATCTTTGAAAACAATTAAAATTTAACACATAAATTCGAATTAACTATTAAAGGATGTAGACCACGAGCGTGGGTTACGTCTGCGTGGGAACAGACTAATTTTACCATTTACACTACTCGGTTATGGTTTAGCTAAACTGAATTACGGCGAATACTAGACTTACACGAGATTAAGATTTAATTTATAAGAAATTAAATTTACGGTCGAATAGAATTATATTATATCACTGTACTATAACTGATTTGAAAATAATGTCTTGTGTATTTTGCCTTACATTACAATAAGTATTATACTACATATATATTGCAAATTTATTATTATATTATATCCCTGGGAAAATACACAGACAGTGTTATATATTTTTACTGTACCTAATGGTATTTGTATGACGTACAAGTGTTAAATTATTAGCTGTTAAGTGTCTTATCTGTACCGTTAATGTACACGTAAATGTTTCAAATGTTTACATTTACTACTTAAAGCATTGATGGCTATGTTATAAAAAAACGAATAAGCTTAAGTGGACTGTTAACAAAAATATATAATTATTTCTTCAGAATAGTTATGCACATAAAATTTCGCAATGCCAAATCGATTAATTAGACGCTATGTTTTTACTAAAACTTTATCAGAGGAAGACCTTGCAAAGCCTCGCGGAAGATGCTCGCTATTTTTCCGTTTGCATCATACTTACTATTTTAAAAATAATATACCTGAACGAAATCAGATTAAGGTCGCGGATAATCTCAGCCGACGAATTTGATGGACACAGCGCGTGCGCAAAACATAGTAAAACTGACAAGAAATAAATTAGATTAATTAATGTTTGATGATAATGATTAATAAATAGATTAAATGACACTAACAAAACTAGGATTATATGATAAGTATTAATAAAAAAAGACCTCAAATAGCAGTGGTGGTCATGAATCATTCGACACTTTGAAATTCTTGTTCTCAAATCGGGTAAAGGGATAAAATTTCTTTCATATGACGTAATATGCTAATGGGTATTTCCAGGTAGAAAATCAAATTCATAAGGATAAAGAAAATACTTTTAAGGTTAACACGTCACTTGATTTATTGGCAGAAATTCAATGAAGATAAGATATAATGTTCTTATTATATAAGTCATATTACTTCCTTGTAAAAAGTTGTAATATAATTTCCCATCATCGATGATTTGACAGATTTATCCAAAGTCATTCTAAACTTTCGCAAATTATATTAGAACATAGCTGTCTTCTCGAGTTTCCAATCATTGTAGAAAGTACGATCATATTCAACCGAAGACAATGGCATATAGCCGAGGTTTTGTCGCCCCGATTGTATGAAAGTGCATTACACTGCATCATAAGAGCTATTATTGTATATCGTATACTAAACTGTTTATTTCATCACACTTTCTTTTCATAGTACAATACACGTGATCGCATATATAAATAGCAATATTGTACATATTTGCAGCATTCTCTCAATTGTGAAATGCCCACAAAATGCTTGTGTATAGTTAAAACTTTAAGGTGTAATATGAATGTACGAATATGTGAAAGGAGATTTATTTCAAAGCCGTTATACTCGTCTTGAATTTGCAGTGGCCAGGTGGCGAAACTGGTTCTCCTGCAGTCAGGTGTGTTTAGCAACTGGGCTTCCAGATTCATTTCACATATTCAACACCATAACATCTGGCGCAAAAACATTACAGGCCCATGATTTGAAAAGGTGCCTAATAAATAAAGATTATCCGTTTCTGATTTTATTTTGATTTATAATTTAGAAAATAAGTGAGATGCCTATAGTCCGTGATATAATGTTTCTCCAATGATAATTCTCATAACTCCTATACCATATAATGGGATCAGAAACTGTTTTCACGTCTATTTGAAGACCGGGAATCAGCCAGACTGGCTAGTATCAGGTGATTATTAAAATGAATCACTTTGTTAAAATTTGAACATCAATCATAAACCAAAAAACTACCTGCCGAGCTTTAGTTAAATACAATACAGACATCGTTAGAGTTCTTATTTAAAGGCCAAGCTGTTAGTCCGAGAATTTTGATTTGACGCGTTAATAAAAATATGTATACTAACAATTAAGCATAAAAAATGCAATTTTCATACCTCACACTTCAATGGATGTAATTTATAATTATGTCAAATCTAATCAGTAATACATAATCGATAAAATTATCAGCAATTTATTATACCTAAGTTCTTTCTTCGTAAACCAAAATCTTGTTTATTGAGTTGTACCTTTAAATTTAATCTGACATTGCTCTTGGGACGGTTGAAATTTATTGCTACATATCATTTTTAATATAATCATTGAAATATAAGCATCATTGCTTCTGTTATTCCAATATCGTGATTTAGTCGAATCGATTGTCACATTCAATTCTAAGAAAGCGATAAGTACAGATTTCTTCACTATATTCGGAAAATTGAGTGTAAGGTTTCTACATAGTAATAAATTTGCTGGCATCATCATAAAAACCTTAACATAAATATCGTTTCTTATTATATGTGACACTGCTCAGTTACTATATGTTTCTAATTATAGAAACGAGTTTATTTCAAAACGTGTTATGTAATTTAAATTCAAACACAAGGTCAGAATAAAAGAGGTCATGTTAAGATGACCCGGAAAAGAAAATTGAGGAAACACATCATGAAGGTAGGAAAATGCCGGTCTTAAAACTTGTGGGTTCTTGAGGCTATTTTGGTAACGTTTATTAGAAAACCCAGTTTAGAAGCAACCACGATATTACGTATACATAATATATGACTACGTTTATCAAAAGTATAGTAGGTACATATAACTAATTGCCTTGGGGTCTTTTAATCTGTAATTGGAATTAATTATAGTGGTTTAAGTGGCATCTCCACATGTAGGTATTGCACTTGAGTTTTATTTACAAGTGGCCGTTACTGCAATGCAAAGTGATAGGAATAAATTTCAAATATTCCGTTATAATAATGAAGTATCTTACCAAAATATAATAATAGTAAGTAATGTTATACCAATAATTCAATTACGTGCACCATAGAGTATAATGGTATCGACATTGCAGTGGTTTTAACCCTTTTGTTTACTTACCTAACAGGACGACTGTTTCCAGTGATTCCGGTTGGACCAATCAATATGCAACCGTGTTATAAACCGCACGGCAAGAGTTCTTCGTTACTCTCTGGGCATACACTTGATTATTGATTTGCATGCTACACTCCTCTTCAAAGATCACGACACATTTATAGTTCAACAACAAAACACAAACACCGTCCTATATGAATGGGACGATTGAGTTTCACTTGTCAATAAGCCACCGAGGTACTTATCTATTAGATAAGCATCGGGCCGTAATGTGATTCGACACTCAGACAAATGCAGGCCAGGCACAGTAAAATATAGTATTGATTACGGTTGGATTGCATAAAACAATGGTGTACACGGTCAAAACAATGCAATGAAGCGAGGCGCGCACCATACGTGCCGCCCCGCCTGCGGACACCTCCGTACTGAGAGATTTAGGACCGTACCGGGGAGCTGGGCAATCGGGGAGCTGTCTCGACTCTCGAGTCGAACGCAAGTCGAACTAGCTGTGTTCGGATGCATTCGCACGCAAACAGATGAATTTGGACGTCTGAGCATCCCGGCAAGGTAACCACTAGTTTTATATTTAAGTCCACATCAGTATGCCATTATGCTAAAAGGAAGAAAAAACTTCGGCGCCTCCAACTATCTCGCTATGTCTCGTATTTAAACTTTTATAAGATTATATTTAATGCATACTTTTGCTTTTGAGTATTTTATTTTTATAAATTTAATGTAATTGAGTTCGTTCTTAAAATAACCTTTAATATGTATAGTACAAATAAACATTTTATAAATATGTACTGTAATTTGTACAGAATATAATTTATATTTCGTGTCCAATAAATAACAGTTCTGTTTCAATTTTATGATAATTTAGGAGTACAAGCATTTACATCGCAGACATTATCGGAGTTTATCAAGACGTCGCACAGACGGGTATTTTAATTATCTACGCGGCCAAAAGTCAAAATAACAAAGTTACAAAAATGCTACCGCATTCGACTACCTAATGCAGGGGACACTCCAACGAACAATAGGCCGCCGTCCCCGCCCCTCTCCCGTTGCGCGTTATCTGGCAAACTCAGTCGGAATTTGATCATCGAACTTTGTGCATTTGTCAGTTATCGGCGATTTATAGAAAGCATTAAAATTGTGAGCTAAACTGCAGTTTTCTGTGTTAACCTGGTGCAAAGAAGCAATGGATTCGGAGACTACAGGTATGTGACAATCTAAATGTTATATAATAAATAAATTTAATTTTGTTTCATATATTTTTAGTGACCGAGGAATAATGTCTAAAATGAGAAGATTTTTTAAAGAAATTTTATCTTTAAAGATGTATTTGTTTTAGTATCGGGGTAGATCCGGCTTTTTTTGTCATTCATATTTAAAAAGTAGATTCTTAAGTAACGAATCCTATATAAATTAGCCGCGGAATAGCGCAGATACGTTAAAGCAGAGTACTTTGATTTTTTACAGTCGAAATTAGTGAAATAGTAATTTATGTTTAAATTTTGTTTTAGGTTCAGAGGGTTCCTCTGGAGTGAGAATAGTGAATAAGAAAATCGAAATACAGACCAGGTTCCGCAATGAAACTGGCTTATTAGTTGACATGCCGAAAGCAAACTTCGGAAACACTAATGACGGCAACACCAGCAGGAGATTTTTTGAAGATCCGAAACTATCCTCAGATATTACAGGAATAGATTACGAGTTGATATATAGATTAAAAGTGATTTTGGAAACGATTTCGAGCGGATACGAAATAAATTTAGAAAAATATGAAAAATATGCAGAAGAAACTGCTTTCTTGTACGTAAAACTTTACCCGTGGCACCCAATGACACCCACACTGCACAAAGTACTTGTGCACGGATCGGATATAATAAAAAATGCATTGTTACCCATAGGGCAACTATCTGAAGAAGCAGCAGAGGCACGCAACAAGCATTTTAGGTCATACAGACAGGATTACTCACGAAAATTCTCTAGAGAGTCCTGTAATAGAGACATTTTGAATAGGCTACTTTTAAGCTCAGATCCCTTTTTTAGTGCCTCAAGGGTAATAAAGAAAAATAAGAAGTCTTCTTTTCTTCCTGAAACATTGAATATGCTTGTATCTGCAACACCAAATCCAGAAGACGCGCACGCACTTAAATCAGAAAGTGAGGATGAGATAAACTGATTATTCATTAATTTAATTAATAATAATAAATATTTCTAGACATGCCACACTATCTATAAATACTTGTAGCTATGAAGTAAAATTAATGGAATCATATGTGTCATAAGGGGCCATCCATAAAGTACGTCACACGAATTTAATAATTTTTTGACCCCCCCTTCCCTTCCTTGTCACAGGTGGTCACATTTCTGAGACCCCCCTCCTCCCTAGTGTGACATCACATGTTTTGCAATTTCACATCGAAAAATTATTAAATTAAAACTGCAGTTCCGAATTTAGTTTTATTTCCATTTAAATGACTTTTTTCTGTCTTTCCGCTGCGCTAATCTTTCGCTTTAATATATTTTTTCCTGCTCAATACTTTTCTTCAAAGTTGAGATTTTTTTGTTATTGCTTCATTTGAGGCTATACCAGCATCGCGTGCTAACAACAAGCTAACTACCTCTAGATATAATAGATTTGGAAATGTAGTATATATAACTATGTCACACTTTGTCGACCCCCCCTCCCCCCTTTACGTGTGACATACTTTATGGATGACCCCTAATCATCATTATATAATATCAATGTAGACATGTGAATCACATTTTTTAATTGTGGTTTTTGTTTTTTTCTCTATTTATGGAAATTATAAAAAAATAAACATTATTTATAACCGTTTTAATTACGCTTGTTTTATTTCCGTCATTAGCAACTCAAAAAACTAAACAAATGTTTTTGGCCAGCTAGATTAACTAAATACCCCTATGTGCGTCGCGTCTTGCTGACGACTGGGGTCCTATCTGTAATGGCTTTATTTATTTTTCAAGGTTAAAACAAAACTTCTTCTAATATATATTCATTTTATATAAAAATTCTACTCAAATTGTACATAGTAATTAAGTTTGGAAAATCGTATTGGCTTTGGACGGTTTCAAACCCTTGAAAAATTGAGGGAAAAACACTTATGAAATATAATGGATATATGAGAGGGAATCGTTTTCTTCTTTTTTACCTTTCGTTTGGCACATAATTTATATAAACATAGAGAAAAACACAAGAGAAACAAAAAAGTAGGCAAAAAAAGAATAAATGAAAAGTAAAGAACTAAAATATGTATTTAAATTAAGAGGAAACTATCAATAGATATAGATATTTTAATTTCAATCATTTATATGAATTATGATAAAGGCACTGAATTTCTGAGTTAGATAGAACCCAGAACATGTTATTTCTTAATATTAGATAACAATATGAAACCTCTGATTATATACAAGCAGGGTATTTGCTCTGAATTATTCAAAAATATAGAATCAATTAGCAAATAATCTCGAAATACATACACAATTGTTTTTTCGTAGTACATAATAGTTGAAATGACGCCATATAAAAATATTTACGAATACATATAAAAAAGGTTAACGTAGTGAAAAGGATAATGGGTAAGATATTAAATTAAAAGTAAAATAAATTCTTGACTATTATTAGAAATAGTAAAGCGAATGAACGACATTACTTTGAGTCGTTGCGAGTGAACCTATTAAAAATATTTATTACAAGCTCGAAGTAACGAGCGGCATTCAATCTTCTTGCTTGAAGCCGAAATAAATGGAGGTATTCATTCTATGGAGCCAAGAATACATTCCCAACATATGACCTTGATGTCTTCTATGTGAAGCCTGCATTTTGCTATGGTAATGTCAATTTATCATCTCTTATATATAAAAATATATATTTTTTAAATCTACATAATAGAAATACTTTGGAGAATAATTAGGTATTCACAAATAGCAAGTCTCGTGTAAATATTTGTATGCAAATGGCATAATATACATGTACCTACAAGTGCACTCAGATGAATTTGATTGATAGGTTTTATTGGATGATTTTTATAATTTAATTTGTATAGAGTATCAAAGGGGGCATAAAATTTAATAAGAAAAAAGAAAAATAAGTGCGTTTTCTAAAAACAGAGCAATATAATTTTAATTCTCTGTTGACTATAAAAAAATGTAGAGTTTTCGCCAGCGACTTCGTCGTCTTGAAATTTAGTAATTTTGCGTTTTAGAGACGTTCATAAAGTGTAGTGTTTAGAGAGACTCTTTAAGAGTTTACATATAACAGTAGTTATTAAAGGTAAAAGTAGTTATCAACTTGTAGAGACATCTATAGTTCGTGTAAAAAGACCATAGACAATAGAACTGTTGCGAGGTAATTCTGAAGGAACTTACCGAAATTCTAGGATAAATTAAATAATATTTTTAATTCTGATATCTAAGCTTCATTATTATAAAGTTTCTTTAAAATCCGTTAAGTAGTTTTTGTCAAAGAGCTGCAATTATCCATATTCCTAGCCATAGATACACAAAAGCTGTAAAACCTCCCAATGTTCCCCATATTGAAAATTTGAAACAGAATTTCTCTGTACAATTAAATATTAAAAAAACTTAAAAAAAGATTATAGTACCTGAAAAATGCCAGTCACCAACAAACATCAATATAATTTCCAAGTAATGTTAGACAGGGGTGTAACTTAGCCGATAAATCATCAGTTTTCATTATTTACAACGAGGGTGCCACCCTATGTAACCAATATGTTAAGACATTATTTACATGAAAGTAGGTTGAGTACTTAAATAGAGACTAACAGGTTCGGTATACTAAAACTTATTATATGAATGTAAAAAAAAAATTAAATTTTCGACAAGAAAAATATTAGATTTGTAATAAAAGGCATACAGGTTAATAACATATAGAAATATAATTACGTACGGAATAAACTAAATAAGCACGATAATACTAATAAAAATGCCATTACCATAAGTTTTCATTAATACACTACATACGGTAAGTTTCCAGTTTATCATTCATAAACCCGGTTTGATACCATCAAGTCCTAAGGTTACTCAATACATTGAAAAAGACACACACGTACGTATTCTTTGAACATGTTAATAATTCTACATATAGGTACGTGTGTACATTTAAATATATATAAATATTTGAATAGGTCCACATGAGACGCTTATTTTCTAGCCAATCTACTTAGAGGGATAGGAGAAAGTTTGGTTTATCACTGGATTGAATATAAATCCTTTTTTTTAATATAAAACGCTGTCATGAATAATAAATAAAGGGATAAATATAAGGAAATATTGTTTACGTTTTAAATTCTCAATATCTCGTAGCTTAAAATGAAATTTATATTCGTATTTTTAATAAAGTTAACATAACATTTTTGTTTTTTTTTATAAAGCGACGAACAATAAAATGTTAAAAGAAGATTATTATTGGCATTAATCGTTAAATAGTTATATGTTATATCATATAGGGTCTTCGTTAAAAGCGGATTAATTTAAAAATTTTCCAGCGCAACAACAAAAAAAATATTTTTCCGACTGAACCCTAAAATATTTTGTAAATAAAAATACAAGTTACTATAGCGATAAAAATTGTCAATTGTACTTAGTTAGTTACGGTGTTTATTGATTTATGGACAAAATACCAGGAAAATGTCGATCTAGGACTTATATTGGATACTTAAGAGCTTCTGGACTGATATTTGACATTTGACGTTAGATAAAAAATAAAGGTAAGTATTAAAATATGGGATTTATCTTATCATTTATGTTTTGGTAAAAATACGTCGAACTATCACTTATTATTATTAAAAACTCAAAATAATATATGGTCCTTCTAATAAGTGTTTTCGGTAACAACAACTGGTGTTATATTTATTTAATATACTTTAATAAAGGGAATAATATTAGATAACATATTATATTTATTATTTAGAATAGCTTGTAGCCAAAAAACATTTCTAAAGGGCGAATAATTTATATGTAGTGTATAATTGTGCAATTACTTTTGAATTAATAGCCGTTATTGCAAAGACTTAGTAAACAGAAAATGCATATTTTACTATAAAAATATATATTGTTTGATTTGTTTAATTTTGAATTTGTCAGTAAAAAGTAACGGTAATCTGTGATTACTTTAATGAGGCGAAGAAGATAGCCGTGACTAATAGGATCTACCTGTGAGGTCCCGGATTTTTGAGGTATGGGTCACAACTCACAAGACTTGACTACGATACACAACAATTTTGTATGAACGTTTAAAAAGCGGTGGAGTCAATGCCATGCATTGTGATAATATTGTTAAGGTTTATCGTTTTTTTATTATTCAAAGTTTAAATGTATTATGGGTGGTTAAAATATATAGTATCTACTGTCTATATATATAAGATTATTTGTATATATGTTCATAATTTAATATCTTTCTATTATCCATTGTGGTTTACTGGTAGAGAATACTTTTATCATTAAGTCCCCTATTTGTTCATTCTAGTCAATAAGTAATAATAATTAATTAAAATAAAATATTCGTTAATTGTAATTGTTGTTAAAATGCTAAATCGATTTCGTTAGATTTTGGCATCAAAATAAAAAGAAATTATAATCTGTCAATCATATATTTTATATAATTTCAAAAATTTTGTTTTATTCTAATTAATTTCTTTGTAACTTAAATATACATATTATTTCATTTAAGTATAAATATATTATATAAATTACAGGTGATGTAATTTTAAAAACGTTTGAGTGTTGTTTTTGTTATATCAGTACCTACTACGAAGGAAGTGTATTTGTAAATCAGCGGAAGTAGGAAGCGTGAACATTAACTTCCTCTATGTAGAGGGGTCATAAAACTACATACAAAAATAATATGTACATCATATAAGTACTTATAGAGATTATGTGTGATAAAATTACCCTTTGAGTGCAGGTATATAATTTTAATTATAAAACTCATGAAGTAAAATCAACCTATGAAATATAAGCCTAAAACCTGAATAAGTTTTTATTATCATAAGAAAGAGTTAATTAAAATAGACATACAGGTTATAGAAGTGTAGTTGACAATAATAACAATAATGTTCAAGTTCATTTGTGATATTCTCACGTCATGTTTAACGTAACCTCTGATGTAATCGTCCGTAATTAATGTTACTAGTGTCC